TGCCTCAGTTTCCTCATATGTGTTACAAGCATGAATCTCGTAAATGGAGAGTTAAAACAGTAACTGGTCTGTAGTATGTGTGATAGAAGTGGTTGTTGTTTTCAGGGCATTAGAGGCAGTGCTAATAGCAAAAAAACCCCAAAAACACAGCAATAAAATAAGAGTAGAAATTTGCCAGACACGTAGAGAGTACGTCTCTCCCTCTCTCTCTCTCTCTTTCTCACACACACACACACACACACATACACACACACACCTGATATTGCTGTTTGAATTCGTTATGGCACAAGTCCACACTCATATACGCTCCCTGAGGACTTACTTGGCTTTTGAATCATCAAAGGCCAGTGGTAAGATGCATCAGCCCTGGGACGGCCCTAGGTGATAAGCTTTGTGAATCCAAAGACAGCTTTAAAGCAAGTTTGCATTGCTGGCTATTTTAATAAGGACCTGTTTATTTTCTTGTCTCTGCCATCACTAAAAGCTTTCGATTTCATCAAAAACTCAGACTTCTGTTAAGTGGCCATGCAAATTAGAGGAATGAATTAGGCAAAGTAAGCTCATTAAGAGTTTAAAGGATTATCTGGGCTCCTGCCAATAGCCCTGCTATGTTAAATGGTTCCATATTTATAAATAATATTTTTCTACTCATTAGACTTTTTTGTAACTAAGCTGAGGAGAGTGTCAGCAAGCATAGTCCCGGACACTTGGTAGGAACCCAATAAATATTTGTTATGTTGATGGTAATAAGGTTCTTGAAGAACGGGGGAAACCCAGTTTTCTCAACTTGATTGAAAATTAAAATGGGGCTTAAATAACAAGATGGAGGACATTAAATGAGAAGGAGGCACCATGTTCTTCGGGACCTTTGGTGTGGTTTTTTTTTTTTTTTTTTGCAGTTTGTATCTGCAATCTGCAAGACAAACAGATGGCTGTTTTAAACAATGTAGAACTCCTTATAAAAATGCTTTCTGTTTGAATACCACTTTCTAGTTTAGAAAGCCTCTTTACTTGGTAAGAGAAATAATCGTCATTGTTTGAGAACTGATCATGGCACCAGAAACTGCCCTCCCTAGGTACACTGCCTCATTCATTCCTCAGGACAACTCTAGGTTTTTATTATCCCCGTTTTTCATGTAAGGAAACTGAGGTACAGGAGGTGAGTGACTTGCCCAAGTTCACACAGTCACAAGGATTGAAACTTAGCTCTACCTGGACTTATGAGTCCACGTTGCCTTCTCCAAGAAAGCCCAGGAAGAAGACAGGATAGGTGCTGTCCCCGTGTTGTAGGGAAAGAAACTTGAGGCATAAGATCCTGTGAGCAGCAAGGGACAGAACTGGAGACAGAGCTGAGGACACTCGAGTCCAGTCCGTGCTGTTCCTCAGAAGGGGGTCACTGTGCACTGACCAGAAACACCCTCTGTCGAACTGTACCAAGATTTGGAAACACGCTTCTCTTCTGATTGGTATTTCTTAAATATTGAGTAAGTACCCACAATGTGCTTATACACAGGACACTTCACACTTAGCAATGTGTCGTGCATTGAACAAATGTGACTGAGTACATCCTACATGTAGGATCCATGCCAGGTCCAGCTGTCCCTGCTAGGAGGAACCAGAAGGCTTCTCAAAGGAAAGTACATTGAAGCACTAGAAAGTTTATCCATTTAACAAAGGGACAGAAAAGTAGGTTGAGGTGAACACCCAAGACCTAAGTCAACTCAGACCCTACTTACACCTGGGCTCCCTCCATTGCCAGAAACCTACATCTCCTTGCTTCTCTGAGGCTGCCAACATCACTGTCTCTTGCCGGAATGATCATCTTAGAATAAGCAGAGCCTTCATTGCAGTCTGGAGAACCCACCCGTGTTGGCTCTGCTGGACTTCCCTGCACACCCTAAGCTAATTCCACAGTAATTGGTTGGCATGCACAGGCTTGCTTTTGCTGCAGTCTCCTGAAAATGAACCATTTCTCAGATGTTGGCAAACTTAATGTTATTTGTCTTGAATCTCATCATGACGAAACTAAAGCTGGCGCAGAGATGCCTCAAATCTCCCGTTAGGAGCCCACAGAGTAGAGAGTAGGAGGGAGGGAGGTGCTACTGGGACAGTGGTGGTGAGCCCACTTGTCCTTGGTGGTGTCACCTTTAATGTCAGATACCTGCACCCAAGGCACCGATGCTGCTGAAGTGCTCAGATTGCTGTTTAT